CACTTTCCAGTACTCGGTGTCTTCCTCCTCCTCCCCACCCACTCTGGACTTCGTCCTTGATAGTGGGGCCACTGAGACTGCTCTCAAGGATGCTGGTACACTCACACCCCTCTCTCCTCCCACTCAAGTTCACGGTGCTGACAGCAGTTTCACCATCCCATGCACACATCTCTCCACTCTCCCCTGCACAATCTTCCCCTCCGGTAAGGTAACTGGTCTCCACATCCCCACTCTCCGAAACAACCTCCTCTCCCATCGGGAAATCCAGAATGCAGGTATCACTGCCGTCTATCCAGGTAATGCCACCTACTGTGACCTCTATCACACCGCCACCGGTCGCTTCCTTCTACGCATTCCCCTCTGCCCCCGCACTCGCCTCTACACTCTCCGCACCCCTTGGCCATCCTTCTGCCATGTCACCACTCGTGCTGGCACCTCCACTCACCCTTCCCATCCCCCTACCTCACCTCCACCCCAGCAGCAGCAACAGCAGCAACAGCAGCCGCCGCAGGGGCAGCATCCGCAGCAGCAGCAGCGGCAGCAGCAGCAGCCGCCACAGCAGGGGCAGCAGCAGGGGCCGCAGCAGCAGCAGCCGCCGTCGCAGGGGCAACAGCAGGGGCCGCAGCAGCAGCAGCAGCAGCACCAGCAGCCGCCGCAGCAAGGGCAGCCGCCGCAGCAGCAACAGCAGCAGCCACCTCCCCCTCTCCCACCCTCACTCACTCCAACCCCCTCCACCTCCGACCATCTCTCCCACCCCGCTGTACTGCTACATCACCGACTCGGCCACCCCAATTTCGCCGCTCTCCGCACTGCCATCACCTCTCGCCTCCTTCACAGCCTCCCTCCCACTCTCCCTCCCCTCCCTTCCTCTCCAGCCCCTCCATGCCCCTCCTGCATCCACGGCAAACTCAAACAGTCTCCCCACCACAGCCACCCATCCTTTGCTCCCGCTCCCATTGACCTAGTCCATATGGACCTCTGGGGACCCTCCCCCACTCGCTCCCGTCAGGGCCATCGCTACATGCTGGTCCTCGTAGACGACCACAGCCGCTACTCCTCCATTTTCCTCTTCCACACGAAAGACCAGGCACCGACTGTGATCACCCACTGGGCAGAGCAATGCCGCGCCCACTTCAACCGTCCCATCGGCCGCCTTCACTCTGACGGCGGCGGAGAATTCCTCAACCGCACCCTCTCCCACTACTGCGCCACCCATGGCATCCAACAGTTCCCCATTCCTCGCAGCAGAATGGTGTCGCAGAAAGCCGCATTCGCGAAATCACCAAAATCGCTCGTTGCCTCCTCGCTCACGCCTCCACCCCTCCTTCCCTCTGGGGCTATGCTCTGCTCCATGCTGCCCTCCTCCTCAACCTTCACTCTCATCCTCAACACACTGCCATCACCCCCACGGAACTCTGGTCAGGCATGAAACCTGACGCTGCCGGTCTCCGTGTCTGGGGCTGCAAGGCATACGTTCTTATCCCTCCTTCCGACCGCACCCACGGCAAGCTCGCTTCTCGCGCCCTCGAGTGTGTCTATCTCGGACACAACCGTGACTCGCCTGGCTACCTCTTCCTCCACCCTCCCTCCGGTCGCCTCATCCGCAGCATTGACGTCGTCTTTGACGAAACCACCCCGTACTACTCCTCTCCACCACCAGACCCCCTCCCTTCTCCTACCCGTCCTCTCGCCTGGACCGACACTGTCCTCCCTCCCCTCCTCCCTCCTGCGCCTCTACTACCACCTCTCCCTGCTCCACCTCCACCGCCCTCCTCTGCTGACATCTACGATCCTACTGCACCTGCATCCCCTGCCCACTCCGCCGCCCCCCCTCTCCCCTTCCCCTCCTCCCCTCCCTCTCCTTCATCCCAGCAGCAGCAACAGCAGCAGCAGCAGCAGCAGCAGCAGCAGCAGCAGCAGCAGCAGCAGCAGCAGCAGCAGCAGCAGCAGGGGCAGCAGCCGGGGCAGCAGCAGGGGCAGCAGCAGCCGCGGCAGCAGCCGGGGCAGCAGCAGGGGCAGCAGCTGGGGCAGCAGCAGGGGCAGCAGCAGCAGGAGGAGCAGCAGCCGCAGCAGCAGCAGGGGCTTCAGCAGCACCAGCAGCAGCAGCGGCGGAGGGCGACTGCCCGCTCCTCACCCTTCCTCCTCCCTCGCATGCACACCCGCTCCCTTGATCCCATCCTTGGCACACCGCCTTCTCCCTCCCTCAACCTGCTAGAGGACTTCCATGAGGAACTCACTATGGTCCAGCGCCACACTCCCTCTCTCACCCCCCTCTACCCTGGCTTCCTCGGCACTCTTATCCTTGCCGCAGTCTCCGCTCCCACCATCTTCGTCCCCTCCACCTTCCAGGAAGCTATCACCTGCCCAGATGCCGACAAATGGATAGCCGCCATCTTCCTGGAATGTGAGGCCTTCGTCCGCAACGACTCTTTCATCGACGTGCCCCTCCCTCCTGACGCCAACCTTGTCGAGGGCAAGTGGATCTTCCGAGTAAAGCAGCTGCCGGGAGAAGAACCAGTCTACAAGGCCCGCTATGTCGCCAAGGGCTTTACACAGACTTGGGCTGAGGACTACTGGTTCACATTCGCCCCTACCGTTAAGCCACCTACCCTTCGCGCCCTTCTCGACGTTGGTGCGCGCGACAACATGGAGATTGACTCCATGGACGTCTCCAACGCATTCTTGCAAGGCGAGCTGCACGAGCGTATTTTCCTACGCCGACCTCCCGGGTTTCACGCTGCTTTCCCCGGCAATAACGTCTGGCAACTACGTCGACCAGTCTACGGTCTGAAGCAGGCACCACGAGAATGGCATGCAAAGCTGTCTGCCACTCTCCAGTCCCTCGGTTTCTCTGCCTCCCACTCCGATGCCAGCCTCTTCATCCGCTCTTCCCCTCGTCGCTTCTTCATCTCGGTCTACGTTGACGACATGATCCTGCTTGCTGATTCCAGGACCGACATGGACCAGGTGAAGCAGTCCCTTCAGGACCGTCTCAAGTGCAAGGACCTTGGTCCGCTGCAGAACTACCTCGGCATGACCATCACCCGCGACCGATCCGCCCGCACCATCACCCTCTCCCAGTCCCATTACATCGGCCAGGTGCTGGAGAAGTTCGAGATGGCGCAGGCCAAACCGGTCTCCACCCCCCTCCCCTTCGGTCACCAGCTGGCGCCACCCACCTCCCCCTCCGCCTCCTCCCGTCCCTATGCCGAACTCGTTGGTCGCTGATGATGTGCACTCGCCCCGACCTTGCCTACCCCATCAGCGTCCTCGCTCGGTTCGTCGGCTCCGGCCGCCACACTGAGGAACACTGGACTGCCGCCAAGCGAGTTCTCCGCTACCTCCGAGGCACCAAGGATCACGCCCTCATATTGGGTGGTTCCTCCCCTCCCCTTCTCTCTGGCTTCAGTGACTCCTCCTGGGCGGACTCCCAGCCAGACCGCCGCTCCTCACAAGGCTATGGCTTCACGCTTGGCAGCGGACTTATCAGCTGGCGTTCTACTCGCTCATCTGCCGTTGCCCTCTCCTCCTGCGAAGCCGAACTCTATGCTGGCACCATGGCTGCACAAGAGTCCCGTTGGCTCTGCTTTCTTCTAGCCGAGCTTGGTGCCCCACAGCGCTGTCCCACACTCTGGTGTGACAATGCCAGCACCATCCATCTCACCCAGGACCCAGTCTTTCACGGCCGCTCCAAGCACATCGAGCTCCGCTACTTCTTCATCCGTGACCTCGTCCAGCAAGGCCTCATTGCCGTCCGCAAGATCGCTGCTGCGGCCAACTTGGCTGATATATTTACCAAAGCCCTTCTCCGCCCTGCGCACTCTGCTCTTCTCCGTCTCATCGGCCTCGGCCCTCCCGACGTGCCTTGATTCAGGGGTTGCTACTCTCCAGCCTTTCCACATATCTGCAGGTTACGGGGTTGTGTTAGAATATCTCTCCTCTTGCAACCTGCATATATGCTATAGGATAGGCTAGAGATAAGCACCCAAACTTAGTTTGGGTGTACAAACAGGGGTAACCCAGTTTGTAGGTTGGAACCCAACCTTGGTCCAATTATTGGACACCAAAAGGTTGGGTTGGGTAGAATTATTGGCTCCCTCCAATAATGTTGGCCCAACCCCACCTTGGCCAACATTATTGGACCCCACCAATAATCACCCAACCCAACTTCTTGGTTGGGGTCCAATAATGCCAACCTAGGCTAGTATCCAAACCCCAACTATGTATACCCCCATCATTCTCAATCAAAGCATCAACTTCTATTCTAACTCTTATTTCCCACAACCTCAGCACTCCACATGTCTGCATACCTCAGCACTCCACATGTCTGCATACCTCAGCTCAGCACTCCACATGTCTGCATACCTCAGCACTCCACTGCAACTTGCCACACCGTGCCAAACGAGAGGTCATGAAGGGATGGAATGAATGAAGGTACCAACCAAGGAAGGACTGGCAGGCAGGAGAGAGGCACGGAATGGAGGGAAGGTGATGAGGAAAGTGACCTTTGAGGTGCCTTAAAAGGGAAGGGTGGTGAGGAAGGTGCACGAAAAGGAGTGGAACTTGGAAGGGCCAGAAGAAAGAGTGTTGCGGTAGACAGGGGGATGAATCAAGACACAGATGGAGTGAAACAGAAAAGGGTGGGGGGGGGGGGCGAGAGGAACAATGGAGGGAGAAGGGATCGGAGAAAGGGCTTTCATAAATGAATGCATAGTACAGCTAAGGAGCATTGCAAATGATCGGTATCATGACGACGCAAATCAGAATACCGGGGAGGGGCGTGAGAAGGTGAGGAGGCTTCTTCCAGCCATGCAGCACCCAGCCATGTAGCACCCAACCATGCAGCACCCAACCATGCAGCACTCAGCCATGCAGCACTCAGCCATGCAGCACTCAGCCATGCAGCACTCAGCCATACATCACTCGCAGCAGGACGCACCTGCCCGGCTGCTTGCTGGTGGCGAAGGCTAAGGCCGTCTGGTCGGCGGCAAAGACGATGAATGGCCGCCCGGACCAGCTGCCTGCGCGCATCCGCCCTGCCCAGGCCAAAGCATCTGGCACTCGAGTCGTCAGAGAATTTCATAGCAGCTTCATCTCCCTCGGGCCACTCCTCCCACTCTGGTAGGCGACTGCTTCCATCCACAGGCTCGGGAACAGCACTGAACCTGACCAGCAGGCTTGGAAGATCCCGAAGCGGGTGGCGCATGGGCAGGACCTTGCCCCGTGGGTTGCCCTTGAAGCAGCTCTTGGCGGAGATGAAATCTGAGCCGTAGATCCGAAGCCATTGCAAGATGCAGGCAACCCGATATGTGAGCAGCCCTCATATTGACTGTGTTGACAGGCACGAGGCAAGTCTCACGGGAGGCGGACACAGACACCGTCTTCCTCCGCCTCTCCCTCTCCCAGGTAAGACCCACCCTCCACCTCTCCCAGGTGCAACCCGCCCTCCACATCTCCCAGGTGCAACCCGCCCTCCACCTCTCCCAGGTGCAACCCGCCCTCCACCTCTCCCAGGACATGGAGGACATGATCTGTGTTGACAGGCACGTGGCAAGTCTCACGGGACCCTCTGGTACAAGAGTTGGAAGTGGCACAACTGCCGGTCGAACTGCTGCCAAGGTTAGGTCTGGCTCGGGCTGAAGTAGCAGCCGCTTTGTAAGCTGCAAACAAAGGCACGAGAGCCCCAGACCCGGAGCACTCACGCATCGCCAACCTCCCGCGTCCAACGCAGTGTCGGCGAGGTCTTTGGCAAAGAGACACGGGACCAGAGGTTCTGTTGTTGGTGCCACTGCTGCTGCTGTTCCAGGTTTTCCACCTGTTGTCCCTCTCCCTTTCATCCCTGCTGCCCCTCCCCCTTTCATTTCTGTTGCCAGCCTGAGCGTTGACAGCCTTCCCCTGGCCTCCGTGACGGCTGCATCTTCCACAATGCTGGTGGTGGTGGTGGACCCCGCAAAGAACATCGCTCCCAGCTTGCGGTGCTCTGGTCTGGAGAACACTGATGCGACTGCCAGTGCGAAGTCCCTCTCTTCCCCCCCTCCATGCTCCAAAATCGAAGCCATACCATCCACATACCCCTCCCACACACGCCCCTTCAGATGCTCCCTCCACTTCAAGTCCTTCCTATCCCTCCCACACCTGCTAGCAACCCCTTTGACCTCTACCATATTCGCTGTCTCCTCCCCACCTCCGTGCTTCACAGAATCAACCCCATGTGGTGCCGCCACCAGCCCCCTTACGGGCCTTCTCTCTTCCCCTTCTCGCCCACCAACCATCAGGTCAAGCTCCCTCCCAAGTCTCCTTGTCTGCTCTCCACTGCCTTCACTCACACGGTCACCCATCTCCCTTTCCCCTCCCCTTGCTACTTCCCAGCATTCTTTCCCCTGCCTCCCCCCCTCTCCTCAGCATGCGCCTTCTCCAGCCCGTCTGACAGCACATGCTGCACAAAGAACCCAAACCCTTCCTGCAAATCAGCGCTCTCCTTCACCCCCAACACCAGCACCAGCATGGAAGCTGCACAGTCCTACTCCTCCTGCCTGCCCGCCCCCAGCTCAGCCACCAAAGCTGGGTACACCAAATCATCAATATTAGCATGAGCTTTCCATAGCGTGTCGATTCGGGGCAATCTTGCTACAAGCACAAGGAAGGCAGCAAAGCTGACAGCACGGCGGTAGGCAGCCCAGCAGCTGCTGCAACGCCAGCAATAGGTCCACACAGCAGAATGAACAGCAGCAACAGGTAGAGCAGATGCAGCAGGAATGGCCAGAATGGCAGGCAGGCGGGATCTGATTTTCCCCAGGTCCATGAGCACGCCCACACGAGGCTCAGCCATCCACTCGAGAATCATTACCTCGGCACAGACAAACGGCGCAAGAGTGCCCTTGCACATGAACTGCGCAAGCGGCTCCTCCTCCTCCTCCTCCTCCTCCTCCTCCTCCTCCTCCTCCTCCTCCTCCTCCTCCTCCTCCTCCTCTTGCTTCCCAAACGCTGGGACTCGAAAGGAATACTCCAGCACACTCCTGTTGACCACGTTCAGGTGTGCAAGGGGGTGGAGCGAGGCTGCGGTGTGTGCAGGAGGGATCGGAAGAGGTCAAGACTCTGCATGGTGAGAGCACGCTCTGCATGGTGAGAGCACGCTCTGCTCCAAGGCTGACCACTTGGTCAAAGCAGCACTCGCACTCTGCCGCATCCCACCAGCCATGCACGTCCAAGTAGTGAACCATGTCGGCTCGACACAGCAAGGGAGGCTTCCTCGGTGCTTCCTGAGCTCCCATTCCCCCTACCCTATCCCACCGGCGGTCTGAGCAACTGCCTGCATGTGAGAGTTCCACCGCCTCATCACCTCGTGCCGACCACGCCAAATCTCCTCCTTGAAGTCCGAAAGACCTCCACCGCAGGATGCGCTGCTCCCTGGTAGATCTCCGTTCAGCTTCATGTCCTCGCCCTCGTCTTCGTCGCTGCTGGACCCGATGTGGTCCCACTTGCTGTAATCGACTGTAGATGTAGCAGCAGCAGTGATTGGAGCAGCACCTGTAGGTGCAGGTGCAGTCGCAACAGTAGGAGGAGCAGCAGGAGCTACAGCAGCAGGAGCAGCAATCACAGCAACAGTTGGTGCAGCAGGAGGGAGAGCAGCAGCAGCGGGAAACACCTCAGGAGCGACCACGACAGCACGAGCAGCAGGAGCAGCGGCAACATCCGGAGGCACAGTCGCAACAGGTGGAGCAGCAGGAGCCTTCACGCTCTGATCAGCTGCCTCCTTGCGCTTCCCATCTTCATCTCCACTCACTGCCTTCACGGAAAGCACCTTGATGGTAGAACTCGGTTTCAGCTTCGCTTGCTCCACAGCAGGCTTTGGGGGGGGAGCACAGGGAAAAATGGCGTGAAACCATGGACAGGGAATTAAAGGCGCTGGAAGACAGAAACAATAGGAAGATAGTACCCATCGGACTGGCACGCAACAAAACCATTCTCACGGGAAAATGGGTCTTCCGCGTGAAGACGAAAGCCGACGGAACAATTGATAAATTCAAGTCAGGATGGGTTGTGCGTGGCTTCAACCAAGAACACGGACGAGACTTCACCGAAACCTTTGCGCCGGTCAGCCGACATACCTCTTTACGAATCCTCATCGCGATAGCCGCCAAGAAGCGGAAGAAGCTTCGCCAAATTGACGTGGCTAACGAATTTCTCTACGCTCCCATCGACGCCGAAATCTTCGTCGAGCAACCACACGGATCTGACACAGACCCTAATCAAGGTTGTCAGCTGGTGAAATCCTTGTACGACATCAAGCAAGCTCCGCGGCTGTGGCAGCAGTACCTACACGCTCAATTATTCCGTATCGGCTTTCAGCAACTACCACACAACCAGGGCATGTACAGACTCACAAAGGAAGCCGAGTACATTATGCTCATCGTGTACGTAGACGACTTACTCTACATAGGCTCCACCGACGGCATCACCAACTGGTTTGAAGGGGAGCTGCAACAAGATCTCTCACTCACGGTTTCCTCTACCGTGACCTAGTACCTTGGACTCAACATTCTAGACGGAGAGAACGCGATCTACCTCAGTGCCGCAAAATACGCCGACACCATCGCAAACCGCTTCGGACTGACGCTAGCCTCCATTTCCACGCCCTACCGCTACACCGCGGGAAATCACAAGGAAAAAACCAACCTGCTTGGACCTGCCAGCCTACGCGACTACCAACGAAAACTGGGCTGTTTGCTCTTCGCAGCCGTCACGTGCCGACCGGATCTGTCATACTCAGCGAGTCAGCTTGCTACCCACCTCAAGCGGCCCGAAGCAGAGCATATGGCCGAACTCGACCGCGCCTTACACTACCTCATCAGCACGCCAACGATCGGCCTAACCTACCACAAGACCGGAACCACTACTCCAAAGCTAATCGGCTACGTGGATGCTGACCACGCAGGCGATTCTGATAACAGGCGATCGCGCACCAACTACATCTATCGACTCGAGTCCGTCGGTCCTATCTCGTGGCAATCGAGCAAGAAAGAACTAATTGCTCTCTCCTCTGCTGAAGCTGAATACATAGCACTCTGCTCAGCCACCAAGGAAGGACTGTACCTTTGCAAACTACCGGAAGAAGCAAAGCTGGCCCAGTTACCCAGCTTCTCCCTCTTCTGCGACAACCAATCTGCAATTCGCATAGCGAACAAGAGCGGGTTCGCGAACCGAACGAAGCACATTGCCCTGCGCTATTTCTTCGTGAAGGACAAGATTGAGAAAGGGAGCCTGCAGCTATCCTACTGCCCCACGTCCGAGATGGCAGCATATTACTTGACCAAGAAACTCGGAAAGCAGAAGTTCGAGTACTACATGCTGCTGACTGGACAAAGCCACGTCATCAGCAACAAAGGTGACGACACTCCAGAAGCGAAGGGGAGTGTTGGAAACATATAGTTCGTGCTTCTGATGTGGCGAGTACTACAACGCAAGCGAAGCGAACTATAACAAAGCAACAGCGAGTCAACCAAAGCGGTTGACAGAAAGACAACAGCAAGAGGTTGAGTGAAGGTCAAAGATCAGCGACCTTTGACTCACCGAAAAGCAGCGTAACAGCAAGGACCCGAGTCGTCGCTGTATCGAACCGCAACAGCAGTTACAGTGTGGTCTGGCTGCAACGAGCAGGTATAAAGCACAAGCCACACTCACCATAAAGACCACATCGTTCTCCTCATCCGTGGACGCTCATACTGCCCCCACCCATCCTTACCACTTAACACCGTGTCTCTGATGACATGACCCACAGCCTGTTGCGTATCCTCATCGTGATGACCACATGCTTCACCGCGTTGTCCTCCTCCGTCTAACACACCCCCCCTGCCCCTCCACTCCCCCTCCCCCCCCTTCTTCCCTCACCTCCTCTTCTCCCCCACCTCCCTCTGACGTACTGCTGAGCAAGGAGGGGGAAGCGGGGAAGATCTGATGGTTTGGCACTCTGAGGCAGTGCTTTCATTATTCTTTCAGCAAGCTGGGCGAAAGCACGAAATGAGGGTGGCGTGAACAGCAGCAGTGGATGGAAGACGAGAGATAGAAATATGTTGTCTCCTCATGACTGGCCCAGGGCAGGGTGCTGTTGGTGTGGGAAGGGGAAGGAACTAAGAGGGAGAGAGCGAAGGCTGTAGAGGCATACTGATTGTCAAGGAGGCGGGAGTGAAAGATATGCCATGTGCGAAAGAGCACCCTGATGGCAATGTGCGAAAGAGCACCATGTGCGGGAGTGAATCAGTATGTCACTCGCTGTATGGCAATCACTTGCAGGAGGCGGGAGCTTGTCAAAGATAGCTGATGATAGCATTGCACTTGCAGACATCGGAGCTCAATTTTTTTCTTCCATCAAGGCAAACTAGAGCCAGAAGCACCATTTGGGCGCGGCTGGGAGGGCACAAAGCATGGCCGGCAACATCATTGGATGGAGAAAGAGAGAGATTGCGAGAAAAAGTATTCAGATTTCCCAGCAAACTCAGCTTTCCTGACCTCTGCATTGGCCCATCGCGCTACCTGCCTTGAGATGAGAAGGCACATGCACACATGCCATGCATGCTCCCATGTGCCCGCAAGTGTGCTCCCATGCCATGTGCCTGCACCTCCTCTTTCTTTCACGTGAAGCCTAGTAGCCCCACGTGTTCAGCATGCAATGAGCAGTGCACAGCTAGCCACTCATGGAAAGTCACATATAAGGCTCCGCTGCCTCACTCTTCCCTTCATTGTCTTCCTCATCACTGGTATGCACCCACTCCATGGCTCTGCCTCGTGCTAGACCATGTGTCGGGGTGACGAGATGGAAGGTGCTATTGCTGTGGGAAGGGGGAGGAGTTTGAGGGGGAGGGGGAAGAGCACAGGGGCATGGAAAAGAGTGAGGAGGGAGCTGATGGTGTTGCATCATAGAAAGGCAACGCTCAGATGCACTAATCGTTAAGGGTGGGTAGATAGCAGCTCTGATGGCCGATTATTAGGTAATCCATAAAGGAAACTAACTATTGATCTAAGTTAGGCGATAGCTCGTAGAGGTAACAGTAGCAGTAGTATAAAAACGTTGGAAGGAGCAGAGCAGAGGGGTGTGCGAGAGGTGAGCAATCACTGTTCTTGTCCTCGAACAGGAGGGGATGCAGTGGGGGTGCAGATAAATAGGCAAGCACACCCACCAAACAAAAATCAGCCACACCCCTCGTCCCCTCTACCCCCTCAGTTTGAGGACATGCTCCTCCTCTTCCTCCTCCTCCCTGCTTCTTCTCGATACTTGTTTCTGCTCCTCTGGCTGCACCTTCCTTCACTACCTACTGCTGCTGCTCCCCTTCCTTGGACCCCTCCCCGCGCCCTGACTCGCTGGCTGCTGCAGTGCGTCTCATCATATCCGCCGCATAGAGCAGGTGTGAGCGCATGGACGGAGTTAACGGAGCAGGTGCTGCTGGTGGTGCGCGCGGCTTTTTGAGCTGAGCACAGATGATGTACGAGGCATGGACGAGGACACACTCCTCCCCTGAAAAACACCACTCACACAAGCATGAACACAACCACTCTAAGCCCCCTCCCTCTCCTCCAGCCCCTCCCCCCACATCTCCTGCATCGGCCGCTTCCCAGCACCTTCCTTAGAGGCGTGTCCCTCCTGCTTGTCAACCCCCCTTGAGCAGAACTCGATGGTGGCAGATGCGCCAGCAAGCACCTTTCTATTGCTGCTCGTGGTGGTAAAGAACAGCTGCCCACCCTCCACGAGCAGATCCTGCACCTCACTGTTGCTCTAGACTGTGAGCGCAATCAAGAAATTCCGCCTGCAGCCACTGGTTGCTGTGACTCGCGCAGTCAAGGCGCACTCTGCCACACCAAGGCTTGCGTACTTGCACTGTAGGTGGCACACTGTCTCTAGGGACGAATTTGAGTGGCGCACTGGCAGCGACGCCTCAAACATCTCCAACTTGCTCATTGCACGCGCCTTCTCATCCGGCCGCAGCAACAGCAGCCCCACACCCACCTGGTACCACCACCTGCACCCCCTGCTTCTCCCTCCAGCCGCGCCGCAGCACCAGAAGAGGCGGCGGCAGTGGCCGTGGCAGCAGCACGGCGCCAGCAGCAGCACCTAGAAAGTGGGTGATGTCGTACAGCTGGAATGGACGAGGACTCTGACCTCGCAACTCCTGTGGCGAGGTCGGATCTGGTGTAAAATAGGTCATGGCACAACACACACGCAGGAAGCGCACGATGAGATTCGGAGTCATTTCGTCGACGATCTTGGGTGCCGAGTGTCGCAGAGTAAGCTGCCACACAACTTCTGAGCAGCGGGAAGGCGGCACGGAGTTCACCACAAGGCACCACTGCGAAAACAGCAAAAAACATGTCTTGTGTTTGATCCCTCAATCGTTTGTCACTTCACTTCACTTCCCTCCCCCCAACCCTATGTCTCCCCCT